CGTTCTGAGTCATTTGCTTCAAACATTTAATAACAGCATGCCCATGCCTTATCTGTTCAGCACAATCGGATCCCCATGCACCGCCACCCCAACCCTTTTAGCATGCATAGCAGGCAGACATGGTTGAGGGCAGGTATCTGTGAAGGGCAGTTGCTTGGACAAAGTACAATGCTTTTGGAGTCTATTGCAAAACAAGAGGGAATTTTCTTTCTCCAAATGGTCTTTCAACTAGTGTTGACTTTGATAGTGGTATCTTCTTTTGATAGGATACTATTGAAATCCCAAATAAGGATAAATGACCTCTCATAGCCATGAGACCTTAAGAGATTGAAAATGCAGCTCTCCTCAGCCTCCAGATAATTTGAACCACAGCTCCTATTATTCCCAAGCAATGTACTCTTCACATCAACAGGACAAAGTATGTCCAGAATTTTCTTGTTTCCATGAATCGATAATTAACTTTTTATGCCTAAGAGTAAAATGCAGTTTTTAAAGAGTTGAATTTGTTGTTGTCGAAGGCTTTCATGGCCGGAATCACTGGGCTGCTGTGAGTTTTCCAGGCTGTATGACCATGTTCCAGAAGCATTCTCTCCTGATGTTTCACCCACATCTATGGCAGGCATCCTCAGGTTGTGAGGTTTGTTGGAAACTAGGCAAGTGAGGTTTATATATCTGTGGAAGGTCCAGGGTGGAAGAAAGAACTCTTGTCTGCTAGAGGCAGGTGTGAATGTTGCAATTGGTCACCTTGATTAGCATTTAATGGCTTTCAGTTTCAAGGCCTGGCTGTTTGCTGCCTGGGGGAATCCTTTGTTGGGATGTGTTAGCTGGCCCTTCTTTATTTTTGTCTGGAATCCCCCTGTTTTTTTTAGTGTTATTTACTGTTCTGATTTTAGAGTTTTTTAATACTGGTAGCCGGATTTTGTTCATTTTCATGGTTTGTGGAATGTCCAGGAAGAAAGAACTCTTGTCCCAACAAAGGATTAGCCCCAGGCAGCAATCAGCCAGGCTTTGAAGCTCCAAGCCCATTAGATGCTAATCAAGGTAGCCAACTGCGACACTCACACTTGCCTCAAGCAGACAAGAGTTATTTCTCCCACCTTGTACATTATTCCACAGATATATAAACCTCGCTTGCCTAGTTTCCAACAGACTTCACAACCTCTGAGGATGCCTGCCATAGTTGTGGATGAAACGTCAGGAGAGAATGTTTCTGGAACATGGCCATAGAGCCCGGAAAACTCACAGCAACCCAGATAAATTTGTTGCCTTTTTCGCTGGATGTGTGAATCACTTGTAATTTGTTAATCCCTAAATTGTACGCTAGAACAATAGAATAACTGAAAATATACTTTGGAAATGGGTGTTTGAAGCCAGTATTTAGTAGTCTACCCTTTAGTTGCAGAAAAATGGTATGCGTTCTGTGTTTTGGAAGTCTGAGAAATATTGTAGTAATCATTAATAACACCAGTGTTATTCAGTTGTATATGGCAAATGCACTGTCTCTTAGTTGAATACTTCTAAGTCTCATTTGTGAGTTGGGACGGTGAAGTTATGCTTTTAAAACTGGAAAATGTCTGCATCTTTAAGGTCTATGGAAAAGAAGTAAAAGTGACTTTCAAAATTGAGTGTATATTTGATGGCATAGCTTTTTAGTGGTGTCCACTCGGTCTTTCAGCCTCAGTCATTTCATTTACAGTACAGAAATAAACATACTAGCTTAGCTCTATAGAGTCATAGAATTGGAAGAGACCTCATGGGCCATCCAGTCCAACCCCATTCTGCCAAGAAGCAGGAATATTGCATTCAAATCACCCCTGACAGATGGCCATCCAGTCTCTGTTTAAAAGCTTCCAAAGAGGGAGCCTCTACCACAGTGGTTCTCAACCTGGGGTCCCCAGATGTTTTTGGCCTTCAACTCCCAGAAATCCTAACAGCTGGTAAACTGGCTAGGATTTCTGGGAGTTGTAGGCCAAAAACATCTGGGGGCCCCAGGTTGAGAACCACTGTTCTACCACACTCCAAGGCAGAGACCCAGTAATTCCACTTCTGAACAGCTCTCACAGTCAGGAAGTTCTTTCTAATGTTCAGATGGAATCTCCTTTCTTGTAGTTTGAAGCCATTGTTCCGCGTCCTAGTCTCCAGGGCAGCAGAAAGGAAGCCTGCTCCCTTCTCCCTATGACTTCATCTATAACAACAAAACATAGGCTTGTGTATACCTGAGCAGCTGGATGCAGTGGTGTCAGTTTATTCCAGCATTTTTCTCCTGTATTGTCTTTTTTTTTTAAAACATGTTTGCCTTCTGAAGAAGCCAGTGGAGCTTTGAAATCTTGTATGAAGTATTTAGTGCATTTTGGTTGACCAATGAGGTGTTGCCTTTTTGTGAATTTGGGTGTATTTTGCTGCTTGGGCCAAACAGCTATCCTAGAATATGTTAACTTTACAGAGTTGATGTAAAGCTCAACTGAATGGAAAGAGAAGCCATGATAGATCAGACCACAAAACAGTTTTATCAAGTCCAGCAACTCTATTAAGGCTTTCCACAGAACTTGATCAGCTGTATCTTGGGAATTTAAAAGCCAGGCTTGAAAGCAAGATGCCTTCTCCCACTGTTTTCCCCTAGGACAGTGGTTCTCAACCTGGGGTACCCAGATGCTTTTGGCCTTCAACTCCCAGAAATCCTAACAGCTGGTAAACTGGCTGGGATTTCTAGGAATTGTAAATCAAAAACATCTGGGGACCCCAGCTTGAGAAGCACTGCCCTAGGACAAGGCGCTTCTGATCTTATATTCTCCACATAACCATTGGGACAGGCAGCAGTTCATGTGATTTTCCTACTTCTTGGCAGGGGGTTGGACTGGGTGGTCCAAGAGCTCTCTTTCACTGTATGGTTCTATGATTGGTAGCCATCCTCTAAAGCAGTGTTTCTCAACCTTCCTGATGCTGTGACCCCTAAATATAGTTCCTCATATTGTGGTGACCCCCATCATAACATTATTTTCGTTGCTACTTCCTAACTGTAATTTTGCTACATGTAAATATCTGATATGCAGGATGTATTTACATCACTGGACCAAAATTGGCACTAATACCCCATACGCCCAAATTTGAATACTGGTGGGGTTGGAGGGGGGATTGATTTTGTCATTTGGTAGTTGTCGTTGCTGGGATTTATGGTTCACGTACAATCAAAGAGCATTCTGAACTCCACCAATGATGTAATTGAACCAAACTTGGCACACAGAACTCCCATGACCCACAGAAAATACTGGGTTTGGTGGGCATTGATCTTGAGTTTTGGAGTTGTAGTTCACCTACATCCAGAGAGCACTGTGGACTCAAACAGTGATGGATCTGGATCAAACTTGGAATGAATACTCAATATGCCCAAATGTGAACACTGGTGGAGTTTGGAAAAGTAGACTTTGACATTTGGGAGTTGTAGTTGCTGGGATTTATAGTTCACAAAAATTCAAAGAGCATTCTGAACCCCAACAATGATAGAATTGATCCAAACTTCCCACACAGAATGCCCATACCATGAAGGGACTCACTGGCGCAATCCTCCCTCCAGCCTCACACACTCTCCCTCACCCATGCATGCACACCACACTGCCATACGCCGAGCATGCCTGCTCTCCCCTCCCCACTTGGAGTCTCAGAAACAGCTCTCTCCTTGACTGAGGGGCCGGCCAATCATAGCAATGGAGGGCTTTTGGGTGGGAGGATTCACCATTTTCCAAAACAAACAAACAAACAAAAAAGGACAGGCAAAGAGATCTTCAGCCTTCTCTGCCAATGGGGTTCCCAAGACCTCCAGAAATATATTATTTTCTGATGGTCTTTAGTGACCCCTCTGAAACTCCCTCACGACCCCCAAGTTGAGAAGCACATGGTGCTTCTGATATTATATGCTTCACATAACCATTAGGACTGATAGCAGTTCATTGGTAGCCCTATTTATTTATTTATTTACCTTACTTATATACCGCTGTTCTCAGCCTGAAGGCGACTCACAGCGGTTCACAACAAATACGAACAGCAAAAATTCAGTGCTACAGTATAGAAACAGTTAACAACCTAACACATTACACAATTAATAAACAGTTACTACAATACCCATTCACTGTCGTCTCGTCATCAAAAACATGTTCCAGATTCGTCATCCATTGATCCATTCCAGTGTTCATTAACCAATCATTGCACTAATTATTCGAACGCCTGCACAAACAGCCAGGTCTTCACCTTTTTGCGGAATACCATTAGAGATGGTGCTAGTCTAATGTCCGTAGGAAGGGTGTTCCACAGCCGAGGAGCCACCACCGAGAAGGCCCTATCTCTCATCCCCACCAGCCGAGCTTGAGAAGCAGGCGGGATCGAGAGCAGGGTCTCCCCGGAAGATCTCCAAGTCCTGGTGGGTAGCCCTATCCTCTAAAGATTTCTGAGCCCATATGTTTCTGGGACTGAATACTTGCAAGAAGTGCCTTATGCATGCTGTAAAAAGTGTTATGTAAATGCTAAATGTTTGACATCATAGGCAAGAAGAACCTTCTGTTCCCGTTTTGTAGAACCAGAATACCACTAAACACAAGTTAACTTCTATTTTGATTTCGAGCCTTTCCCACCCCTTCTTGTTTTCCAAAAGTGTTTTTTCAAAACAAAATAAAGGAAGTGAGATAGAGCGAAGGCGAGGAGGATTTTTTTTTTGTCATAGTTAAAAGAAAGGCCTGTATTAATCTGAAATTAGTAAACAAACAAAACAAAATACTTTAAGCCAAGGAGAAGTCAATGAAAAACCTCTGTTCATTGCCTGGTTTTGCAAGCTATTCCATTCCTAGCATATTATTTCAAAATTTTGTTTTATGAAATGGTGAAAAAGCATATAGTGTTGCAGCTCCTCATCCTCAAAAGTTGTGCTGATTTACTGAAACCCTCTTGGTTTGACTCGGCTGCCCTGCTCAGATCACCAACCCTGCCGTAGCATTAGCATTTAATGTGTTTACCTTGCTGATTCTGCACCGGTGAAAACTGCCGCTTGCTGGCCTGTTTGCTGTGTTTTCTTCCTTCCGCGTATGAAGATGTAACGCCGAGAAGCCTTCCTCCTTGCAGTCACTTCCTAAACGTGAATGACGCCTGTGCTAGCCAATGGCAACACACAGGCTCAGCAGGGCTGCAAGCGAGAATAATTAACCCTGTTTTGTACCCACAGAGAGACAGGAGGAGAAAGAAGTTGTTTTTCTTTCATCTGGACTTTGCCACTTCTGGAAATCTGGAAACTTTGGGGATGTATTGCACCAGCTAAGCCAATTTGGTAGTCTCTGCTGGGTCTTGTATAAAGATTAAATGTGTTAAAATCATAACTTTAAAAACAGCCTCAGAAGAGTAATTCATTAAGTTATCTTCTCGGATTTTTGAGTCATGCAGGGATTTGAAAATGTTGCATATTTGACTAGCAGAGTTCCCATGGACTCAAGGTCTGTTATTGACATATAGCAAATAGCTTATGCATTGCAAGTTAACTTGGTGAACCGTCAGAATTTGCCACACTCCATTTATCCATTCTGTATGTGCTGTGTCTGTATGGTACTATATGCTGAAGGTTTAAAGCAGGGGTTCTCAAACTAAGGCCCAGGGGCCAGATGAGGCCCTCCAAGGTCATTTACCTGGCCCTCGCTCAGGGTCAACCTAAATCTGAAATGATTTGAAAGTACACAATAACAACAACAACCCTATCTCACATTTCCCATTGAAATACTAATAAGTTTATATTTGTTATAATTGTTCTTCATTTTAATTATTGTATTGTTTTTAAGTGTTTTTCCCCACTACAGATACGTGCAGTGTGCATAGGAATTCATTCATGTTTTTTTCAAATTATAATCCGGCCCTCCAACAATTTGAGGGACTGTGACCTGGCCCTCTCTTTAAAAAGTTTGAGGACCCCTGGTTTAAAGTCTGGACAGACTCTTTCACCCTGATTTTGGTGGACCACCTTTATTCCATTGTGTACTCATCTTTTACAGGTGAGGTTGGGGAGAGGCAGGCCATTGACATCCACTTTCAGTAGCTCCAAACCTTTTTGAACGTACTGTAAGCATTTGACTTTGCAGCAGTGGGATGGATGACACTGCTATCTGAGATCCGGCAAAACTGCAGAATCTATTTATTTACAATTATATTCAGTTCCTTCCTAATAAAAATGGGAGGGCCTGCTTTTGAAGGCTATTCTTTGGGGAAAAAAGAAAGTGAAAGTGTGCATTTGGAAGCTCATATGGTAGGTAGAGCTTAGAACACTGAGCAACTTCACATGCTTGCTATGCAGTGACAATAAAACCAAGAGGGAGATGAATATGTCTGCTGTTTCAAGCTCCCTTTTGCAAGAGTGGAGAAAAATAACTGTTGGAGCTTGGGAGAAATAGCAGCTTTAGATCACAGCACCAGAATTCAGCCCGCACTATGATCAGTGGCCTTGCTAGCATTCGGGGACTTGTTCAGGCTGTCAGGCTCTGACATTAATAGCCATACTGGGTAAGTGCTAAAACTATTTCATGCACTCGCTTGTCTGTATCTTTTCACTCTTGGCATAATAGGTGGATTGCTAGCTGTCTATTTCAACTCCCTAGTTGTGTTTCCTGGTGGCTTGTTTTTCTTAAAGTCCTGCTCTTCTTTCTATTACTTCTTGTTCCTGTCACTATGTTCTATATGGAACCAAAACTAGTGCAAGCCATTCAAACATTCATGGGGAAAAGCAGGTTGATGCTTTTGGGCACCTGCCGGCTGCCTCACATGGTGCCACACTTGGCTTTTCGTAACCACAAGGAAAAGGGAACATTTTTCAGGCAGGGTTCTTCAAGCTGAAGTCCCCAAAAGTATCTTTACTGTGCTCTATTATACCTATTATATTATATTATATCTATTAAATCTATTATATTCTTTCGGGTTGATGGTCTGGGAAACATTTTGACATATAAAGGACATTCCTCAAGATGAGATGCATAATGCTATGTAGGCAGCTGGTGAGCAGAATGAAGAAGTTTTAGATGCTTATTCGTAGACATCAGAATGTGCCTTGGCAGATTTTGAGTATGTTTCCCAAGCAGGCTGAGGCAGTCATTGCCGCAGAAATGAGAATGCTTGGCGTTCATAGCTCCAGCAGACGGGACCACACACGTGAGTTGACATGTTGATTAAAAAGCTGGCATCCTCTTTAAGAGCACGAGGGAGAGATTGGGATGACCAAACAGATTTATGGGTGTTCGTAGCAGTGCCAGCTTACATTTGCCAGAACCGGGCTTCCAAAGCACATTAAGTGCTAAGTGGGCTAGCCTGCTGTCTACCAGGCCACCCCTGAAGTTATCGAACTTTGCTTTATGATGATCTATTTATGCTCAGCGTCTCATGCTGAGATTGCAGACCTGACCTGATATGCCAGGGTACTGCTTGAGTGGTGTGCATCTGCACATAGCTCCTTAACTGCTGCCTTCATGTGAGCAGCCAAACAAGCCAAGATGCAACCCTCAAGCACAGCTTTTTGTTATGTCTGAACTGACAAGTACGGCTGAGTGGTGAGTCTAGAGGAAGAAGGAATCAGGAAAAAATTGGATTGTTTGCTGTCCATCCATGTCCTATTTTGTTAAGCTGGCATTCCAACTATGTAGGGACAGAATGAGAGTGATAAGTTTTGGAGACATGCAGAGCAGCCATTGAAGGGAGACAGGTCTGAGTTTTGGAGCTGCCAAATGGGAATCTTGGGGCTTTTGATGGATTTTGTGAATTGTTGTACTTTTTTTGGGCTATATGGCCACATTCTTTCCTGATGTTTTGCCTGCATCCATAGCAAGCATCCCCAGAGGTAGTGAGGTCTGTTGAAACTAGGAAAAAGGGTTTAGATATCTGTGGAATGACCAGGGTGGGACAAAGGACTCTTGTCTGCTGGAGCTAGGTGTGAATGTTTCAACTGACCACCTTGATTAGCATTTGATGGCCTGGCAGTGCCTGGGGGAATCTTTTGTTGAGAGGTGATTATATTTTGTGAATGATGGAAACATCCCTACATGGGCACAAGAAAGTCTTATCTGTCTAGACTTTACTTTTCCATTAGAGGAAATGAAACGTTGTCCTCTTGGAACTCATCTGGGCAGAGTGGAGGGCCTGTATCAAGTAACTACTTCATCGCATTAGAGAATGAATCCATTTTAAATCTAGTTTCTGCCTCTTAAAGTCTCCCTAAACTACAAACCCCAGAATTCTGCAGGAGGCAGCAACCAGATTTAAAGTGGATTCATTCTCTAGTGTGATGAGGTCCTAGGCCAGAATTGAAGCTTACTTACTTACTTAGGTGATCCCTCGTTTTCCGAGGAGGATTGTCTTCCAGTATTCTTGTGTGTCCGTATGTGGCTGTGGAGCCCTACTCTTGCTCTGCATCTTCTTCCGCAGTGAGGGCATTGGTTTCCAGGTGGGAGGCGGTCTTGGTCGGGGTTGGCTTGACACGCCTTCCTCTTGGCACGCTTTTCCCTTTCGCCCTCCATTCGTGCCTCTTCAAATTCTGCAGCACTGCTGGTCACAGCTGACCTCCAGCTGGAGCACTCAAGGGCCAGGACATCCCAGTTCTCAGTGTCTATGCCAGAGTTTTTAAGTTTGGCTTTGAGCCCATCTTTAAATCTCTTTTCCTGCCCACCAACATTCCATTTTCCGTTCTTGAGTTCGGAGTAGAGCTACTGCTTTGGGAGACGGTGGTCGGGCATCCGGACTACATGGCCGGTCCAGCGGAGTTGATGGCGGGGACCATTGCTTCAATGCTGATGGTCTTTGCTTCTTCTAGCACGCTGACGTTTGTCTGCCTGTCTTCCCAAGAGATTTGCAGGATTTTCCGGAGGCAGCGCTGATGGAATCATTCCAGGAGTTGCATGTGACGTCTGTAGACAGTCCACGTCTCACAGGCATATAGCAGGGTTGGGAGGACAATAGCTCTATAAATAAGCACCTTGGTATCCCTACGGATGTCCCGGTCCATAAAACACTCTCTGCTTCATTCGGAAAAATGCTGCGCTTGCAGAGCTGTGCTGTATTTCGGTGTTGATGTTGACTTTGGTGGACAGGTGGCTGCCAAGGTAGTGGAAATGATCAACATTTTCTAATGTTACACCATTCAGCTGTATCACTGGCATTGGAGAGGGGTTGGCTGGTGTCTGCTGGAACAGCACCTTGGTTTTTTCAATGTTCAATGACAGGCCGAGCTTCTCTTATGCTTCTGCAAAGGTGTTTAGAGTGGCTTGTAGATCTTTTTCTGAATGCGCACAGACGACGTTGTCATCAGCATACTGGAGTTCTATAACAGCTGTTGTTGTAACCTTGGTTTTGGCTTTCAGTCTGCTGAGGTTGAATAGCTTGGCATCTGTCCAATAGATGATTTCCACTCCGGTGGGAAGCTTCCCATCAACAAGGTGAAGTATCATAGCGATGAAGAATTGAAGCACGAGGCATACAACACAGCAGGTGGGAGAAAGTGGAAATACGTTTTTAAAAAAGAGAATGGGGTGGGCAAGCTGCATAGACGAAAGCAAGGGATTCCATCAGTTTTTGCAATTGTGCACCTTCCACCTCAGAGCGTGCTCAGTCAGCCTTTCCATCTGTGGGTGGGTGGGTGGGGAAGGTTAGCGCTTTGAAGATTTCCTGGTCCAGGATCAAAAGGCCTTTTGTGTCTGGGATGTGGCCAGTGTTTTCCCTCTGCTCCGGGCTTGGTTTTTATTTTATTTGTTTGACTTCCCTTTTTCTGCTACAGCTCTGCCAAGAACAGGGAGACTCCAAAGTACCCCTCTCCTTGTAGGGATTGGGCTGGAAGGGACAAGGAGGGAGAGGAAAGTGGGGAGGGGGGAGAAGACCGAGGAGGAGGAGGAGGAAGTGTTTCTGGTTCTGTGGGAATGTGAGCTTTCTCCAGCTCTGTAAACAGCTAGTGACTCATTACATAGCTATGGCACTGGAGGGATGCATAGCCCAAGGCATGCTCTGTCTCTGAGTGTGTGTGTGTATGTGTGTACACACATACAAGGGGGAACTGCAACCTGCTTCCTTCATGCCACATTCCACACCGCTTCCTTGACTCTTTTCTCACTACAAAAAGAGGTTCCTGGAGGGACAGCCAGCACCGCCCTTCCCCTGTTTTACACTTCTGGTGGCTTCACATTCTGCTGTCGCGGGTCAAGTGGTGCATGGCCGAAGTCCAGTCATGCGGGCAGGAGAGAAGAGCTTGACAGGCCTGAGCGAGGGCCTCCTTGGAAGGGCTCTGCAAAGCCAAGGTAATGCTGCTGCCATCGTTGCTGCTGCCTCTGGCGTCCGTTCCGGCTTCCTTCGGCTCTCCAGGGCCCTGCCCTGCCTTATCTTTCTTCCCATTATGGGGCTTGCTTGTGATTTGAACTCCTGACTTGGCCCTTCCTGCTGCCCCTGAGCTTCCTGCTTTGTGGATCAGCACCGCCTTGGCAGTCCTGAGGCCTGGGACTCTCTTCTAACATGTCTGCATGGCGCTGCCTGGCTCTCCCGAACTCTTCTCTTTCTCCAGACCTTTCTTTGCCATATTGCCGTTATCAAGAAATGGATTCTGTGTTTGGTCACATAGATCTCTAGACGTTTCACTCTCCACTTCATGCATATAGGGAATGGCTGAGCTATTTATTTATATTTATTTATCGTGTCATCCGCAACCGGAACATTGTATTACATTTCTTACAGAACAAAACAAACAGATTAAAAAAACCACAAATTTTGCAAACTTGGTAGCTGATTAAATGTCCTTTGACCAGTATCTGGCCACTTGGAGTGCCTATGGTGTTGCCGCAAGAAGGTCCTCCCATCGTGCATGTGGCAGGGCTCAGGTTGCATTGCAGCAGGTGGTCAGTGGTTTGCTCTTCTCCGCACTCGCATGTCATGGATTCAACTTTGTAGCCCCATTTCTGAAGGTTGGTTCTGCATCTCGTGGTGCCAGAGCACAGTCTGTTCAACGCCTTCCAGGTCGCCCAGTCTTCTGTGTGCCCAGGAGGGAGTCTCTCGTCTGGTATCACCCACGGATTGAGGTGCTGGGTTTGAGACTGCCACTTTTGAACTCTCGCTTGCTGAGGTGTTCCAGCGAGTGTCTCTGTAGATCTAAGAAAACTATTTCTTGATTTAAGTCGTTGGCGTGCTGGCTGATACCCAAACAAGGGATGAGCTGGAGATGTCTCTTCCTTGGTCCTTTCACTATTGGCTGCAACTTCCCAGAGGATGTCAGGTGGTGCAATACCGGCTAAGCAGTGTAATTTCTCCAGTGGTGTAGGGCGCAGACACCCTGTGATAATGCAGCATGTCTCATTAAGAGCCACATCCACTGTTTTAGTGTGGTGAGATGTGTTCCACACTGGGCATGCATACTCAGCAGCAGAGTAGCATAGCGAGATGAAATAAATGAGAGTTCCCCTACTTCCTACACTGGCCTCTTTGCACAGGGTTGTATTTCTGGCTTTGCTTCCATACCTTGGCTGTCTTTGTTCCAGTTTGACTCCCTTCCCTCTGTCCCATTTCTTTCCTCCAGTTTTCATAGAAACCAACAACCGTAGATGAGTACAGCATCAGTGTCAGTTCAATCGTCACTGTGGAAGTAATTGTCAAAAACGCACACTTTACATGTTAGATGGAAATAGGTAGTGTTCTCACAGTGGTACCCAGAGATGCTGGGAGGTGCCCTTAATTATTCAAAGAGACATGTGTCAGCCAGACTCTCTGAGGCGAGTTTCTTTCTTCACATCTGGGTGTGGTTGCCTATCAGCAGCATATAGGAAAGTTTATTTATTTAGAACATTTATATCCTGCCCTTCTCATCCCGAAGGGGACTCAGCACGGCTTACATAATCGGCATTATTCCATGCCCAAACAACAAGTAAAAACAACATTAAAACAAGATATGTAAACATTAGATGACTATTGTGCATACATCCAAAGCCAAATAGTCAAATAATCATATTCATCAATCCAGGGTCAATTCCAACTGTATTACACAGTTAATTATGCCAGGTCAAATGTTTGCTCCCCAAGCCAAGTTTTCATTTGTTTGCAAAATGACAGGAGGGCCAATTAAAATCCCACTAGGGAGGGAGTTCCACAGCCAAGGAGCCACTACTGAGAAGACCCTGTCTCTCGTCTCCACCAATCGCGCCTGTGAAGGTGGTAGGACTAAATGACAGGAGGGCCAATTAAATCCCACTAGGGAGGGAGTTTCACAGCCAAGGAGCCACCACTGAGAAGGCCCTGTCTCTAGTCCCCATCAGTTGCGCCAGCTACGGTGGTGCAACTGAGGACAAGTGCTCCTAAGAAGATCTTAACCTCTGTGATGGTTCATAGAAAGTTCCTTTTTAAAGACTACATCTCCCAAATTAAAAAGGGAATATGTAAACAAACAGACTTTTGGAAAATATGGGGAAAATTTATGAGTATGTGTTTAATGAGGGAAAGGGGTATAAGCCAGCAAGAGAAACAATGATATTTTGGAATGGCGAAACAACATGAGTTGGTTGGTCCTGGTGGAGGGGGCACAAACTAAGGGTAAGGGGAAGAGGGAGGGGAAAAAAATGTATCAAAGAGAAACAACAGGAATGGACCATGGTCAGTATTTAGAGTGCTCATCATTATGCTTCCAAAACAGAATAAGACTGAAGGATGGGACATGTTTAGAATTTGCATGTTGTATATATGTTATGATTATATTGCATTTGGAGAGTGAAGAATGAGTGACTTGATTATAAGGATTGGTCAGATTCTAATTATTATTATTTTGTTTTGTAAATTGAGAGAAGTCTGAATTGATTTATAGTTAGTTGGAATTTGTAGTAGTTATAAAAAAAATCTTCGGTGCATAAAAAAAAAACCTACATCTCCCACAACCAGATTCTGAAAGTTATAATCTCAAAGAGTAACATTGCAGTGGTGCAATGGGTTAAACCCTTGTGCAGGCAGGACTGCTGACCAAAAGATCGGCAGTTCAAATCGGAGGAGTGGGGTGAGCTCCTATCTGTCAGCTCCACCTTCCCATGTGGGGACATGAGGATGGTAAAACATCCAGGTGTCCCCTGGGCAACATCCTTGCAGACAGCCAATTCTCTCACACCAGAAGCGACTTGCAGTTTCTCAAGTCGCTCCTGACACAGAAAAAAAAAAACTTCTCCAAATCTGGTCGTATTAAGGGAGCAACGTGGGCTCAGCAGATCCTCAGCTGTACTTTGTTTCCCCACATCATGCCTTTTGCCTGTTGCTTTAAAGAAGAGGCATGGCCATAAGCAAAAGCAGCAGTGTCTCCTTCTGACTTAATAATTTTGTTCTCTGCTCCCAGAGTGCTGAAACTGCATTGATTTCCCCAAGTCAAAGGAGAAGAAGTGCAGGCTGAGCCAGCAAATTCCCCTTCATCCCCCCACCCCACAAAAAATCCCAACAGCGACATGCTTCCTGTATAGACGTGCTCCGACTTCCCTGCTGCCGTCCTTTGCCCCCTTCTCTTCCCTTTCCAAAGGTGCCTTGAAATGAATGAGTTTGTTGACTCTGTTGTCCTCCCAGCGTCTTTGCACAGCAATGACCCCCGGAGCCATTTGCTTTTGGGCTTCTCTTGTTTCCATGGCTACCGTCTCAGGGTTGGCTACTTTCCCAAGGTCACCATGGCAACTATCGGAAGGGAATCATGCTTGGGATGCTTTGGCTGGGTATCTTCTCCCCCTCCCTTTTTTTTATGAATGATTAGAATGTGTGACACGATGTAGACATAGATGGAGACAAGAATATGTTTCTCCCCCCTTTTCTTTTTTACGGTTGAGACAAGGAGAAGGAGATGCGCGCCGGGCCAGACGGTCATGACCGTTGCCTCTTCCGTCCAGCGCTGCAGCCGGACCTCAGATCCCATGCTGGTTCGGCGCGACAGATAGCCTTTCAAGGTGGTGCGGCCCAGGCTGGCTGGCTGGCAGGGGGAAAGAAAGCGCTGTGATGTCACAGCTGCATTGCCCTCTTCCTCGGTGGTAGGTGCGCGGCTCTCCACAGCCCCTCCAAGTGCGTTATGTGCGTGATGCAGGTGTGAAGGCTCTCCCCTGATGTCTAGACAGGCAGACTGTCTCTTGTGCTGCTTGGAAGGATGTAGGGTTATTTTTCCCCTAACCAAGACCTGAGGTGAGAGTGAAGGGCAGCTGTCTTCAGCGGAGAGATTTGGGGAGGCATTGCTGTTGTGCCACATCTCCACATTGCTGGGCAGAAGGCTCTGAGTCAACCCTACCAAGTGAGAAAGTGTTTCCTTCCCCTCTTCTTTCTTTGCAACCTGTTCGTCCTTTACCTCCCCGTTTCCCCTTTTCACTGTTTTTGCCATCTTGTGTTTTGTCTTGTGTTGGCCTTCTGTAAAAGGAACTGCTGCTTTTGAGGCACAGGTGGGTTACAGGTGGGTTTCAGGATGCTCAACGTTTGCTCAGTTTCCTCATTGGAGAGTGGGAACCTTTGTCTGTGGCACTGAACAAACAATGTGTTGTTTGCTCCTGAGTTTTGTTTGTCAACCTTTTGTATAGGGAGGTGGGGCGAAACAAAGTTGATGCTGGTGTCTGGTGTTTTGCAAAAACCAGCTTCCAGGTTTGCTGGTGTTTAGGTGCATTTGTGCAAGATGTTGTAAACATTTTTGGTATAAAAACATGAACAAAAACAACTAGCTACATTTGCAGTCATTGGGGTAGGAAGGTCGAGGTTTATGTAATGTTCTCGATCAGTGTTTCTCATCCTGAGGATCAGGACACGAGGGGGTTTCAGAGGGGTCGCCAAAGACCATCGGAAAACACATATTTCTGTCAGAAAGCACATACTTCTGATGGTCTTAGGAACCCTTTTGGCAGAGAAGGCTGAAGATCTCTCTGCCTCTTCTTCTCTTCCTTTTGGTGTTGGTGAACTACAACTTTCAGAATTCAAAAACAACCCCCCAACCCCACCAGTATTCAGTGTTGGCCATGTAGGTATGTGCCAAGTTTGGTGCAGATTCATTGTGCGCTGGGTGCATAGTCCTTTTTGATTGTAGATGGACTATAAATCCCAGCAACTTCAACTCCCAAATGTCAAGGTCTGTTTTCATCAACTCCACTAGTGTTCACATCCGGGCATATTGAGCATTTGTGCCAAGTTTGGTGTAGATTCATTGTGGGCTGGGTGCATAGTCCTTTCTGATTGTAGATGGACTATAAATCCCAGCAACTTCAACTCCAACATGTCAAGGTCTGTTTTCCCCAAACTCCACCAGTGTTCACATCTGGGTATATTGAGTATTTGTGCTAAGTTTGGTCCAGATCCAAACTCCACGGTGCTCTCTGGATGTAGGTGAACTATAACTCCAAAACTCAAGGTCACTATTCACCAAACTCTATTTTCTGTTGGTCATGGGAGTTCTGTGTGCCAAATTTAGTTCAATTCTATCATTGGTGGAGTTCAGAATGTTCTTAGATTGTAGGTGAACTATAAACCCCAGCAACTATAACTCCCAATTCACAAAATCAACCCCCCCCCCCCCAACTCTACCAGTATTCAAATTTGGGCATATTGGGTGTTTGTGCCGAATTTGGTCCAGTGAATGAAAATACATCCTGCATATCAGATATTTACATCATAACAGTAGCAAAATTACAGTTATGGAGTAGCAGCGAAAATAATGTTATGGTTGGGGGTCATTACAACATGAGGAACTGTATTAAGGGGCCGTGGCATTAGGAAGGTTGAGAAACACTGATCTAGATAAAAGGAACCAAAATTGGATACTTTCTGTAAAACCAGGGTAGAGATCAGTTGTTGTTGTGTTTTTTTTTTGGGGTGGGGGTGTAAGGACCAGACTGTCCTCAAGATATTTTAGAACCTAGGAATAATAAGCGTGCTATAGTTACTAATAACATTGGGTACAATGATGGTGCTTTCTAGGACTTTGGTTGCGGTGGTGGGTACAACTCTTTCCTCTATAACTTTGTATTAATATGGACTAAAACAGGCATGGGCAAACTTTGGCCCCTCCAAGTGTTTTGGACTGCAACTCCTATTGTGGGAGTTGAAGTCCAAAACACCTGGAGGAGCAAAGTTTGCCCATGCCTGGACTATAACAACACTCAACTTGGATTGTTGCAATCAGTCCTTTTTTCTCTCTTCTCCCCACCTTCTTTCTAGTCATAGATTGAACCAGTCGTGCTTCTGGTCCTCTTGTATGCTGTGGCTAAGAACCAAAACATTTATGCAAACTTCCTTTGATGTCCATTATATCTGCATGGAGGGCAGTAGGTCATAGGATGTGCTTTGCAGATGTAAGGGCTTAGGTACAGTCCCTGGCCCTTCCGCTTAAAACAAACTCTGGCAGCAGAGCTGAGACAAGACCTTTGCTTTATTAAAGGCTTCGGTAACAGACACCAGTCAAAATATACTCTGCTGACCTAGACAAACCAGGAGCCTGAGTCAATGTGAGGCAGCTTTGACCAGCTTTCATTCATATCTATAATCACATACTTGCCACATCGCTACATAAGATAATTTTTGATTTTGCAGAAGAGCCAATATGTGATTTGCAGCCCAGTACAAACAGCAAAATGGATCACGTCCTCTTTTTGAATTGCACTGGGGGAAAACGAATGTCTGTGTGCAAATTTGCAGACCCTTGCTTGCTTTGACGAAGGAAAGAGTAGCAGAAGTAGCTGTTCGAAAATCTGCTTCCCATCCAAGGCATTTGTATCCAAAATAGGCATGTTTGTGATGCCTGAATGAGATACATAGGACAAGGGATGTCCTTTGTTACCTATAAGGATCCTGTGAGGAACAGGCTTCACATACTGCTATGCAGGCTGGAGATGAGGGGAATTTTAATCCAACATATACCGTATTTTGAGGTCACTATGTCCTAAAGTATGATGGAATCTCTACTTACGAACTAATGCACTGAATGGCTGGCAAGCTGCATTATGAGTTCCCAAATGAGTGCTTGTTTCAAAGGATCCAGAAGTAGATGGAAAAAAGAAAAAGCCCTGGATGTTGTCAAACAGATAAGTGTTGGAAAGATGAGTAGTGCTTTTTGAGTCTAAATGTGTCATACATATCGAGAGGATGTTCTATTCTACATGTCTTTGCTAGACTATTTTTCTAACTCTGTGTACTAAGCTTAACTTGTTGCCTCTCGCTTCTTCTCTCCCCCTCCAGTTGCAATTTCTGAGCAGTTCTGTCCAGAAGACGGTGCCCAGGTTATGACGACTAATCCAAAGCCGAACAAAGCATTAAAGGTAAGGCAGTAACAGTCTTTCCCTGTTCTGCAGTTTTGGCTGCCCAAGTGTTAGAAAAAGAGTGGAGGATTGGGCAAATTCATTGAGAATTGTTGGGTGAGTGGGCTTATTAACAAAAGACCCTCCTCGTAAACGCACAGCAGAGTAACTTAGCAGCATCGTGATCCAGCACCAGTAGCCAAAATAGATAGAAAGAACAAAAACACACAGACCAATGTTATCTCTTTCATAGGAGACTTTTCTTTGTAATAAAATAATATGGTTGCACAATTTACAAGAACAAGGTTTCCATAACACAAATAAAGTTCCTTATACTTCCTTCTTTGCTTCCATGCTGGGCTTCTTTCTCATGCAGATAAGTGGTTTCACTCTCACAGAGCCTCCTTTCACACCGAAGTTACACAGGAGCTTCACACAGCTTTTTACACACACCAGGCTTCACACATGATGGCCTTCAACCTGGGGCTTCTTTCACTGAAGCTTTTCACACCAGGCCTACTCACACTGAGGCTTTTCTCCCACTGATGCCTTCTCACACTGAGAGTTCTCTCTGACTGAGGCCTTTCTCCCACTGAGGTGAACAATCACTGAGGCCTTCTCATACTGAGGCCTACTAACACAGAAACCTCTCACAGACTACAGTCACATCTGCTTATATTGAACTGCAGCTTTTGCTGAGTAATTGCATCAATGTATCACTTTCAGTGCTTGATTCATATTTTTGTAATCAAAAATACCTAGTTAATATTTAATATTTCTGACAAGAATGACTTCTCAAACTGGTTTTTAAAAAGCTGATTCTTAAATATGCTAGATTATACAAACCCAGAACTGATCTTTGAACTGTTGGCTGTAAAAATGGTTTTCCTAGCAGTACATCTTATCAAGTTATCTTCTCTAGCATTTCTTAAAATGACATTCACTGCTCTAATGTATTGTATGGAGAAACTGACATTTTTTTTGCTGTACTTTGTCCTCAAAAGAAAGTGTTAAAATCATACAAATTAAATTCGCCCAAATACATTTATTGATGACTTTGAGATTAGACTAGCATTGAATATTGGGCTAAGCAGCAGTTTTGTAAAGTAGACCAAATCTTGTGAGAACATTCATGGCACTTTCACAGATCAAGATTCATAGTGTGATGACTGGAGAACTTTTGTGGCATGCAGAAACTCCCAGGTTTAATCCTGTACTTTCAGTTAAAAGTATTTGCGATAGCAGTCTGGGTGTTACCTGTGCCTAATATCTGCGAGAATCAGCAGTTCGATCAGTTGGTTCTAACTTTATGGACATAGAGTCTAATTCTATATAAGAGCACTTAATATGCTCAAGCCTGATAACAGATTTCCTGAATATTTTGATTTGGACACAATTTCCCTGTATAATCATTTGAACCATTTCCCTTTCCTTTCTTTGGGGAAGAAGTACATGGTGAGGCCCTTCTGTTTAACATCCTGCGTTTGATGTACTGTATATACTTGAGTATAAGGCAACCCAAATATAAACTGAGGCACCTAATTGTACCACAAAAAACTGGGAAAATGTATTGACTTGAGTATAAGCCGAGGGTCGGAAATGCACCACTTACAGATAAACTTCAAAATAAAAATAGGTACCAATAAAATTACATTAATGGAGGCATCAGCAGGTTAAATGTTTCTGAATATTTACATAAAACTGTAATTTAAGATAAAACTGTCGAACTCCGATTAAACCATTATTCCAACCTTCTTCAATGTAAATGTGCTTCCATATGCTTCCAATAATAATAATAATCATCATCATCATCATCAAAATAAAAAATGTAATAATAACAGTAATAATAGAGTAAAATAATACATGTAATAATAATAATAATAATAATAATTAGAGTAAATAATAAATGTAATAATAGTAAATAGAGTAAAATAATAAATGAAATAACACTAAGAAATAGATTAAAAAATAAATGGAATAATAATAATAATAATAATAATAGAGTAAAATGATACATAACTTTGACTCAAGTATAAGCCAAGGGAGGCTTTTTCCATTTAAAAATGGGCTGAAAAACCTGCCTTATACTTGGGTATTTATAGTAATTTCTGGAGAGGAAGGAAAGGACTAGTCCACTACCTCCTGTCCATCAGGTGGTGCTATATTCTGACAGTGTTTCAGAAAGTAAAAGAGCCAAGTATTAGACCTAGGAAAGCATCACATTGCTTGCAGTCAGATTAGGCCAATGTAAACTTGCAGTGGGATTAAAGTAAACCCTATTACCAATAAAAATGTTAGTTTAAAATCTACAATCAAATATTGGTCAGATATTGCAACATAAGGGTCAAGTATTTTTTTAAAAAAAAAAATGTATAAACAGGGAGAGGGAGATTTTCATTATTAACTGGTATGATAATTTCAAAGGGTAAATTAAAGTTTTGAATAATCAAATTATGTTTTAATGTAATGAATAGCTGTAAGATTTCAAAGTGGTCGGTAGGATTAACAAGTGAGAACAATATACTGAAGTGAACAATGGCTCGGAAGGAAGACTTGCAAGCAAAAATGAGCCATTACCTTACGGCACCCCATAACCTGTTTCCCAGTATGTGTGTGTGTGTGTATGCGTGTGTGTATGCATATAAATACACACACACATACATATACCTACACACACACATATGTTAACATCTTACAGTGTAAACAGAATATGAAAAAAATGAACATTTTACAAACACATAACCTTACCAAGGCCTGAACAAGTATAATTTCCTTTGCCATAAATTTATGAGTCAACCAGTAAAACAAATGTCATATCCAAAATTCCTGACCAATAGTGTTGTATTGTTTTCCTTTTTCACCTGTTCCCCAGTTGAAAAATTTGTGCGATGATGATTTTAGCACAAGGCACCTAACCAAAGCTATGCAAACCCATAGTCAAAGCAAGTCCATTAACAATGTGTTCATATTTCTACAAAAGGAGACACTGAGGCATAGAAATAGCTTATGGACCAGCCATGGCACGGAATACATGTTTCCTTGCAGTGTAGTTTGTTATTTGGGAGTCTGCAAATAATCCAGGTAGCTACCAGTATTTATTTTTATTTACTTACTTTACTTGTATACCGCAGTTTCTCAGCCCAACAGGCGACTCAACGCGGTTTACAACAAGGGTAAAAAATCAATCAAACAATATACAATTTAAAATCATTAAAAAGCATAGTATACACAATAATAATACATCAATAACAGCCCCATAACATCTCGTAACTAGAATTGTAATCCAATCCGTCGTCCATAATTCCGTTCCTGTATTCATCATATTCATTGCGCTGTTTATCCGAATGCCCGTTCAAACAGCCAAGTTTTTAATTTTCTTCGCAACACCATTAGCGAAGGGGCTGATCTAACTTCTGTAGGAAGGGCGTTCCACAGCCGAGGGGCCACCACAGAGAAGGCCCTGTCCCTCATCCCCGCCAGCCGCGCCTGTGAAGCTGGCGGGATAGAGAGCAGGGCCTCCCCAGAAGATCTTAGAGTCCTGGCATGCTGTCTGCCCACCTCTCCATTTCCACTATAGCACAACTAGATATGAAAAGCAGGCATACTCTCAAATACTCTGGATGGGAACAATTTAAAGCTTTTTGATTTCTGGCCAGAAACTACTGAAATCCAGTGCTGAGCTAGTATTGATTGAAGGGCAAGTGGCAGAGCATGTGATTCACAGATAGTATTCGAGAGCAGCCCTTGACCAAGCACAGTGTGGAAGACTAGGTAACCTGAAAGCTACCAAGGTATGAAGGACAGTGAACTAGGAGAGCCAGGCTATCCCTTTGTAGTTCACCTCTCTCATGCCCTCTGTGACGCTGATGTCCACAGGTCAAGGAGGAGTCAGGAGAGAACGCCCCGGTGCTCAGTGACGATGAACTCGTGTCGATGTCTGTGCGGGAGCTGAACCAGCACTTGCGGGGTCTGACGAAAGAGGAGGTCATCCGCCTGAAGCAGCGGCGGCGCACGCTCAAGAACCGGGGCTACGCTGCCAGCTGTCGCATCAAGCGCGTGACACAGAAGGAGGAGCTGGAGAGGCAGCGGGTGGAGCTGCAGCAGGAGGTGGAGAAACTCGCCCGGGAGAACAGCAGCATGAAGCTTGAGCTGGATGCCCTGCGCTCCAAGTATGAGGCCCTGCAGACCTTTGCCCGCACGGTTGCCCGAGGACCCATCACCCCGACCAAAGTCGCCACCACCAGCGTCATCACCATCGTGAAGTCGGCAGAAATCTCTTCCAGCTCAGTGCCCTTTTCAGCAGCGTCCTAGTGTCCGGGCGGGGAGAACTATAGGAAACCTTTGGGAATGAGAGGGTAAGGAGCCTGCCTGCCTGCCTTCCAAAGGAGCAGCCTGTTTTTTCTAGAGCCACAAAGAGGACACTTCAAAGGGAAAACTAAACTGGCTGCTCTGGTGTTCACTTCCAAGTTCTTGCGAGCCTCTTGTGACTGAAATTGGAATTGTGTACCTTGAATGAACAGTTGCAGGAGAGGGGCCTTGCTCAACTACTTCCCGGAGCCTTGGGAGAAGACACCCAAATGCCTCGGGAAAGCTTTGGATGAAACATGGCCACCCAGAAACAGCTGGCAGAATCATCAGGTGCAGTGAATGAATGAATGGATGGATGAATGAAAAACAATTCTCCTCCTCCCTTCAGGAAAAAAGAAATGAATGTTATCCCATCATGGTTATCATGGTGACTTCCACAGGATGGGCGATATAAGGTTTGTCTCTGGAGCAGCATGCACTGAGAGTTCATCAAAATGTTGAAGGTTAGGGTCCTTGTTCTCCAGTTATGAAAAGCCCTCATAGGTGAATGTCCCCATGGGTTGGAAGCTGATGTGACTGTGCTGCTGTGTGGCCTAGCCAAATGAAACACCTACAATGCAAAAATCACCCATTAGTTGCTTCCGTATGGTGTGCCTGTGAATTGGGTATCAATTCTTAATGTGCTCTTGTTGCTTCCAACAATTTACTCCTATACCAGCAGCTTTTACAATCCAGGTTCCAAAATGGGAAGAGAAAATGGCAAACGAGTAGAACGACCGAGGAAGTTGGTTAACTTGGTAAGAGAAGAAGTGTGAGAAGAGGAATTGTCATAGTAGGAGTCAGTACTGTGAAAAGGTGTTTTCTAATAAGGCATGCTAAAGGACCGGCAGGAATAGGCAGAAGGTTGCAGTGAGCCGCAGAAACAAATGTCTGTAATCTTCCATTCTTCAAAAGGGCTCACTCTTCAACACAAGTAGATGGTGAAGCTGAATGAACAGTTCATTCAGTCTTATTCAACAAGTTGCTTTGTAGTTTCTGGGTCTCAAAAATGAGAAAACGGATTCCTGGATATACTCCTAATAAAAAGACGACATTTCTTGAGAAGTACAAATTGGGTTGGAAATGAGAAAGTGAATTGGAGCCGATCAGCAGCATAGGAAAAAGTCAGAATTGGAGGACCAGGTAGATGGACTAAGGTGTGAAACTGCAGGCATGATAAAGAATAGCTGGCCATGGGTCTTGAGTTTAAGGTTTGAGTAAGGTTTTTGTGGAGGGGAGAGAAGAAAGCAAAGTTTGAGGGGTTTGTCGAGAGTGGAAAGGAGTGGCCAAGGCGAGTTTGCAAATTTCTGGCAGGAGAAGAATTCTAATCAATGAAGGAAGGAGGAAGAAGCAACAAATATGTAGAATTAAATGGAATATGAGGTTGTATGAGTTGTCTTAGGGTAGATGTGCCTGCAAGGCAAAAAAGCATCTTCTTTTTCAGAGCTTGGAAAGATTACTTTTTGGATGGTAATTCCCAGAATTCCCCTCGCCAGTGTGGTTACTGTAATCTCCAGAGTATATAAGTTTTGTTCCTTTATCATTGTCATCCTTTAGCACTGTATTGCTTAAGGCTTGAGATTCACAGGTGAAAGAGGAAGGTTCTGTGACTTGAGAACCACCAGTCAGACAAAGTCCCATGTGTTCAGGTGGGTTAGCTTGAGGATGTTTTGAATGCTTCCCCATGTAAGAGACTACGACCCCTCTTCCACACACGATATGTGTCAAGAGAAAAGGACATCCTAGAATTTCTTTGTGTGGGGGAACATTCACACACCCAGCTCCCCACATGTTGCATGTAATGGGGTGGCTCTTCTATTAGTATTCTAGTCTGGATAACTTGAAAAGCAGAACTGCATCTGTTATAAATGGCATTGTGGACGAGAGGAGCACTGACTGTCCCAAACATACTTGCCAGATCCCAAGCAAGGGATAACCACATTGATATTTCCAGTCTGGGCAAGAGGTAACTAGATTGGCAGTTCACTGAGTCACATTATCTAGGGATGTTTCCTTTCTTCCCAGCCTTGCATAGTCTTCTGAAAGGCAACTTAATGTTCTGTTTACCTATGCTGCTTATGACTCTCTCAGCAAAAGCTGAGGAAGAAAAGATATTATTATGTATTACTATTACATGCTCTTAGAGGTATTTTGGGAAATCCCGGGACTTCTGCAAGCTTCTTAGGCTCTTCAAACGTAGGAAAAGGGCCACAACCCTTGCACTGTTGGAGCTTCCAAAACCTATATAAATGGCCAGTGTGGGCTTCATATCGTATGTCTTTTACTGTTGCCCCATGGCTTATTTTCAAGCAGAAACCAAAGCGTCCTCCAAAGCAAAGAGGCATTTCTTCGCAGAAACCATGAAAGTAAGAGAGGGTAGAGCTGGTGTTGGTTTCACCATAGAGATAAGAAAAGTCTGGAGCATCATGTAGCCATCCAGGTGCATGTCAACATGTAGCCATCCAGATGAATGGGATTTCTATTCCCATAACATGTGATGGGATAACAGGTGTGATAGGAGGGGTAGTCCCATACCTTTGCAGCGGTCCCAGTTGGGAAAGGCTGGGTTGGAAGTGCATGTGAAAACCGCCACATCTGGGAAAAGAAGTCTTCCCATTTAGCCCAGACCATGAGGTGCCCTCTTGTTTTGTAAGGGACTAGTCCAGTAAGCGTTTAGCTTGTGGTCGTCATTACATGGATGTGCAAGTCAAGAGTTGTCTTGTCTCTTGTGTTAGTTGTGGTAACACTTTCCGTTGAAATGAGAAAAAAGCAGACTGTTTTCTCAGTGGCACTTCCTTGCAGAAATACAGCATTCCTTGGGACAGTGGTTCTCAACCTGTGGGTCCCCAGCTGTTTTGGCTTCAACTCCCAGAAATCCTAACAGCTGGTAAACTGATTGGGAGTTGTAGGCCAAAACACCTGAGAAGCCACAGGTTGAGAACCACTGCCTTAGGAGTTTTAAGTGGACAGGTAATTTATAAACAAAGTAAATGGGAGACACCCTGACAACTGTAGTTAAGTTGCTGTTTCCAATTGTTAGAGCTAGAAATGTGGGTGCACAGATCTTGTGTTGCCCCTTGGCAGCAGCATCACTGTGTCTCTTACTGGTACAAAACTACCTTCTGGTCATTCAGTAACTATTCTAAAGGCCTCTACCTTTTTTCCAATACCGTGCTTACTATTGTTATCGTTATCCCATGTTCTACATGGGATAGTCTTTTCTTTTAGGTATTAGTAGCCCAGCTCCATGTTCCTTTAGATTGCCATACCTTTATGGATTTATATTCTAAAGCAACATAGGGCTACATGCCTGGGGCAGGATGGTAGGATAGCTCTGTGCCCTAATTTCACTGTGCTCTGGTAGGACGAAGACGACTTGGAACCATTCTCAAGAGTTAACAACAACTAGTCTCTGTAGTTAACTTGAGAGCCGAGAGAAGCCTCCATTGGGTAAACGATGGCCCCCTCGTTCCCCACAGCAAAACAATGGGAATGTGTGCCTTTGCAATTTGATCAGAAGCATGAGGCCTAAAACATTTTTAAAGCTGTTGATGCCATAATCATGGTAGGTAATCCATATTGGATGTCAGTTTAAGGACCATGTGGAAATATTTGAGAGAGACACATATAGATACAGATATAGATATATATAAATAAATATATATATATATATATAAAATAAATGCATAATTATATACATTTTATCGTACAGATTTTTTGTAAAAGTTACTGGCTGTGTGTGTGCGTGCGTGTGTTTGTGTGAGATATTGTTGATTTCCTTATTTAAGAAACCAAACACCTGCCTCCAGCAAGGAAAGTGGGGGCAAAAGAAAAGAGTTGTTGGTCTTTCTCCTGCGAGCCCAGAGAAATCAAAAGTGCAACATAGGGGTTGGTGAAAGAAATACGAACGTTCCTGAACGTTGGTCCCGGAGGAGAAAACCAATGGCATCCACTTGAAATAATGCCTTCCCAAAAATGGACTTCCCAAAGAGGCGAGTTTACTATGCCATGAAACAGCTTGAAAGACTGTGTTGTCCTCTAATCCAGTGGTTCTCAACCTGTGGGTCTCCAGGTGTTTTGGCCTACAACTCTGAGAAATCCCATCCAGTTTACCAGCTGTTAGGATTTCTGGGAGTTGAAGGCCAAAACATCTGGGGACCCACAGGTTGAGAACCACTGCTCTAACCTTTCTTCCTCACACCTGGGTCTCCTGATTTAGGGAACTTGCTCCAACCTTCCATGCAAAGCACTTGTGTATGAGAAATCACATAAAACCCACGTGTGTAAACTACCACCTTCAGTATATGTGACGGTGGGCTTTAAGGGGCATGTTTAGGCTTTGAGGGGTATGTTTACTCAACATCTCCACCACAATGCCCCTTCCTGCAGTCTGATCCCACCTTGTTTTCCAGGTTTCATCCTGCCTTTTTGTCAGATTAGTCTCAGCATCCCAAGACAAAGCTTGCACCCAGTTAGCGTTTGTTTCAGGTGAGCTTCCAATAGAACTACTTATCTGGGCCAGGCCCATCCCACTGTCTTTTAGGAGGTCCACAATCCAGCCCTGCAAGGAGTCAACTCTGTGTGGGCTGTAATGCTCCTTTCCATCCCTAATGCAGTTTCTCATAGGAAGGTTAGAATCTGTGGTTATGGGAAGTATTGTCGAAAGCTTTCATGGACGGAATCACTGGGTTGTTGTGAGTTTTCCGGGCTGTATGGCCATGCTCCAGAAGCATTCTCCCCTGACATTTCGCCTGCACCTATGGCAGGCATCCTCTTCCATGTTTTGTCGAAAGCTTTCATGGCCAGAATTACTGGGTTGTTTTGAGTTTTCCGGACTGTATGACCATGTTCCAGAAGCATTCTCCCCTGACATTTTGCCTACATCTATGGCAGGCATCCTCTTCAATGTTTTGTCAAAAGCTTTCATGGCCGGAATTACTGGGTTGTTGTGAGTTTTCCAGGCCGTATAGCCATATTCCAGAAGCATTCTCCCCTGACATTTTGCCTGCGTCTATCGCAGTCATCCTCTTCAATGTTTTGTTGAAAGCTTTCATGGCCGGAATTACTGGGTTGTTGTGAGTTTTCCAGGCCATATAGCCATATTCCAGAAGCATTCTCCCCTGACATTTTGCCTACATCTATGGCAGGCATCCTCTTCCATGTTTTGTCGAAAGCTTTCATGGCCGGAATTTCTGGGTTGTGAGTTTTCCAGGCTGTATAGCCATATTCCAGAAACATTCTCTCCTGACGTTTTGCCTGCATCTATGCCTGCTGCAGATGCAGGCAAAACATCAGAAGAGAATGCTTCTGGAACATGGCCAAACAGCCCAAAAAACTTACAACAACCCAGTTATGGGAGGGTTCATGCATGCATCTTATTGCGCTGTTACAACCACCATTCACATGGCTTGCCAGTTGGTGACCAGTGTCTTGTCTTGCTTTTTACTGGCATTGGGCTTTCTGCCTTTGCACCTGCTTTCCTTCCAAAAATGTCAGAAAGGGAAAGGTGATCTGGCAAACTAGAAACAGCCTTGAGTAGCCAGTTGTGATCTTGGTTGGATTGTTTTTCCCCTCTGGATGCTGAGTTATCATTGCTGTTCACATTACATTTGTTTTATTGGACTGGACTTCCGGCAACAGTGGTGGTTTAATGATTCTGAATGTAATTCACTCTGCTTTAAAAAATGAAAGAAAACCATTCCTATGTGAATTACCATAAACAAGTACATTAGGGGGAGAACTATGCTATATCCTTCCCCGTTCTGTGCTATTTTATTACATGCAGGATGGTTCAATTTAAATATGGTTGGGGTTTTTAAAATCCCACTCCCCCCATAATTAGTATAATTTTGAATTCTACTTCATCAGCAGGCCACCTCAATCTTCATCATGTTCAGCATGGCTTTTGGATATTAGAAAACAAACCAGGCTGGATCATTTAGGCTTCCCACGAAGGCTATATGCTAAAGATACTGAAAAGCAAATGAAAGTCAGGTGGGGAATATTTAATAGAGGAAATGAGAAGGAAATCTAGATTCATGATATGCCAAGAGCTCAGAAAATAAAGACCCCCCCCCCTTCCCACTTCATTATGATGGAAGGCTTTCCAGTGATGATACACGTCCCTCCCTTTCAAAAAACGAGGAAATCTCCTGGTGTTTGTGTTCCTTTTGATCACGTGTCCATTCTATTCTCTGTGGTTTACTCAGTTCATTTCAATATTTATTTTTGTGCTGCTTTTTTATTATGAAATAAATTATTGATATATCAAGTAATGTGAGTGCCTGTTTTCGTAAGGCGTATACACTGTGTGTGTGTGTCCAACCTCCTTTCCCCCGTTTTGACAAAAAAACCAACAACATAATGTTAATTTATTGCTGTAGATTTGAAGCTGCAATGACTATTTTTTTTGTACCTTTCCAATAAAGCATTTTCTGGTTTCAGACTTGACCGGGTCTGTGATCTGTGTGTTCAGAGCTCAGGGTTCTTGATTTTCAAGCAATTATATCTGAAGTGAGCAGGGGTGTCAGAAGGGTCACCAATGACCATCAGAAAACACAGTATTTTCTGTTGGACGTGGGGTTCTGTGTGGGAAGTTTGGCCCAATTCCACCATTGGTGGGGTTCAGAATGCTCTTTGATTGTAGGTAAACTAGAAATCTCAGTAACTACAACTCCTAAATGTCAAGGGCTATTTTCTCCGAACTCCACCAATGTTCCCATTTGGGCATATTAAGGATTCGTTCCAAGTTTGGTCCAGGTCCATCATAGTTTGAGTCCACAGTGCTCTCTGGATGTAGGTGAACTACAACTCAAAAACTCAAGGTCAATGCCCACCAATTCCTTCCAGTATTTTCTGTGGGTCATGGGAGTTCTGTGTGCCAAATTTGGTTCAATTACATCATCGGTGGAGTTCAGAATGCTCCTTGATTGTAGGTGAACTAAAATTCCCAGCAACTACAACTCCCAAATATCAAAATCAATTATCTCCAACCCCACCAATATTCAAATTAGGGCATATTGGGTGTTTGTGCCAAATTTGGTCCAGTGAATGAAAATACACCCTGCATATCAGATATTTGCATTATGATTCATAACAGTAGCAAAATTGTAGTTATGAAGTAACAATGAAAATTTTAGGGTTGGGGGCCACCACAACATGAGGAACTGCATTCAGGGGTCGCGGCTTTAGGAAGGTTGAGAAACTCTGGGTTAAACCCTTTTGCCGGCAGAACTGCTGACCGAAAGTTTGGCAGTTCAAATCCGGGGCACAGAGTGAGCTCCCATCTGTCAGCTCGAGCTTCTCATGCGGGGACATGAGAGACGCCTCCTACAGAATGGTAAAACATCTGGACGTCGCCTGGGCAGCGCCCTTGCCAATGGCCAATTCTCTTGACCGAAAGGTTGATGGTTCGAATTCAGGGAGTGGGATAAGCTCCCATCTGTCAGCTCCAGCTTCTCTTGCGGGGACATCAGAGAAGCCTCCCACAGAATGGTAAAAAATCTGGATGTCACCTGGGCAACGTGCTTGCAGATGGCCAATTCTCTTGACCGAAAGGTTGATGGTTCGAATTCGAGGGTGGGGTGAGCTCCCATTTGTCAGCTCCAGCTTCTCAAGTGGGGACATGAGAGAAGCCTCCCACAGGATGGTTAAACATGTGGGCAACATCCTTGCAGACGGTCAATTTTCTCACACCAGAAGTGACTTGCAAGTTCTCAAGTCACTCCTGACACGACAAAAAAAAAATCTGAAGTGGGCAAATCCTTTACAGTGGATTGTTAATTAGAAGGTCTTTCTTTTCATATCCAGTGTCTCATACAACAATCAAGCATAACTTAATTCAGAAGCTGGATGCTTGACATGTCATATTCTCCACTTTTGTCCAAGAAGCATCACCTTTCCTGTCCTGACCTCTGCAACAGTGACTTAACATCCAAGACAGCAGTAGGATTTTTATTTATTTTATTAGAAAAGTATTTATAAATAATTCCATATTTACAAGTTTACACGCAGACGCCCATCAATCACCTCTTGCTAGAAGGAGCATCAAGAGCAGAAAGTGTTATATGTAGAGTTATATCGTCCAGGACAAACAAGCAAACAGACTCATTCTCAGAGAAAGATTATTTTTTTAAAAAAACCCTGAAACTAACCCCCTTGTGCATTTTATCCATTACAGCAGAATTTTTCCAGGCTTGCCAAGGTTAGAGACATGCAATGACCAGCATAACAGATTTCTGGATTTGTACTTCTTCCCCAGAATTCTTCAGCAAAGTTAGAGAACCACTTTGCTGAAGAATTCTGGAAAATTCACTCATACTTTGCAATCTTTTAGTGCTCCTAATACAGATGCTACCAAACACTGACGTGGCCTCTGCTCTCCAGACTGTGTAGACATCAGTTCCTCTAGACCAGGCATGAGCAAACTTGGGCCCTCCAGGTGTTTTGGACTCCAACTCCCATAATTCCTAATAGCCTCGGGCCCTTTCTTTTTTTCCCCTCAGCTGCTTAAGTGAAGCTTCTGCTGAGCAACATAAATGACTATGTAGTAGCCCTTTTTGCTCTATCTGAAAGACAGAGTTAGATAAAATTGCTATCAGCTGCCAAGGAAACTAAGGGTTAACTGGACCCTCTCCCAAAATGTACTTCAATTATTATTAACTTGCATTATTTTTGCTTTTTGTGGGAGCATGATTATGGTTTCTGTTTAGCATCTTTGGTGCCTGTTTAGCTTGTTTACAAGCTGGAATGTGTCCAGAGGAGGATAACTCAAAGGATCAAGGGTCTGGAGAACAAGCCCCATGAGGAGCGGCTTAAAGAGCTGAGCATGTTTAGCTTGCAAAAGAGAAGGCCAAGAGGAGACATGATGAGAGCCATATATCAAGATGTGAGGGGAAGTCATAGGGAGGAGGAAGCAGGCTTATTTTTTGCTGCCCCGGAGACTAGGACGCAATGGAACAAGAGCTGGGCATGTTTAGCTTGCAGAAGAGAAGGCCGAGAGGAGACATGATGAGAGCCATATATCAAGATGTGAAGTCGTAGGGAGGAAGGAGCAGGCTTGTTTTCTGCTGCTTCGGAGACTAGGACGCAATGGAGCAATTTCTTCAAATTACAGGAAAGAAAGGAGATTCCACCCGAATATAAGGAAGAACTTCCAGACTGTGAGAGCTGTTCAGTAGTGGAACTCTCTGCCCCGGAATGTGGTGGAGGCTCCTTTGGAGGCTTTTAAACAGAGGCTGGATGGCCATCTGTTGGGGGTGATTTGAATGCGATTTTCCTGCTTCTTGGCAGAATGGGGTTGGACTGGATGGCTCACAAGTGATTCTTCCAACTCTGTGATTCTACCAGGGTTGAATGAAAAGTAATGCCTCCACCTTTGTTACTTGGGTTGAATGGGAATATTTTAATAAACCAAATGCAGAAATAATCCTTAGAATGTGCCCTTTAACTACCACTATTCACTTTTCCACATAATCACCAGACAATTGGATACCTTTCTGCCAACGATGAACAAGTTTTCTGAAGCCATCACAGAAGAAGTCAACATTCTGTTTCCGCAACCAGCGTCTCCCAGTTCTCTCATCCTGGGTACCCATCGTGCACAGATCTTCTGATAGCCAAACAAAGCAATAACGTGGCTCACACTTTCTTGTGAAATGCCGATTATCCTTGAAATTTCTCTCTGAGTGATATGACGATCGTCCTGAATCAATCTCAACCTTTTGCTTGTGTAACTCAGTGGTTGCTGTCACAGGACGTCCAACTCTTTGCCACGCAAGTCAGATGTTCCCACCTCAACATCTTTAAACTTACTCGCCCAATGACGCACAGTACTCACATCAACACAATCACCATAAACAGCTTGCATTCCCTGATGAATCTCCTTTGGGGTGATACCTTCTGCTGTCAAGAATTCAATGACTGCACATTGCTTAAGTTGCATTGACCGATCGTCTGTGCGGGGTTCCATACTTCGCACTTTAACAACACAACCATTCAATGCTAAGGCTTCCCACCAAAATGGAACCGTAGAGGAGAGTCTACTGAACAAGCCAGTACCTGCCACATACCAGTACTGCCATCTGTTGAGGAGTTATGAAGGTGGAGGAGGCATTACTTTTCATTCAACCCTCGTATGTTGCTTCGAGGGTACTGTTGTGTGCATGTGGTGCTTTTTGTCACTGTCTTGGGCTCATACAATAAACTATTTTGATGGTCATGACCTGTTATAGTGCTTTAAAAGGGATTCACTGCCAAATAACTCCCTGAGTGCCTTGTTGCCATTCCATCACTGGATAAAATTGGCAAGTGATTGTCACAAAGGCTGAAAGTGTATCAACATTTTTCTACAAATGACCCCAAAACAACATTTTAAAAGCAACTAGAAAACCTTTCTTATACTAATATATCCATCCCAACTGTTGCATTACTTTAGAAATGAAACTTCATGCCATCCTTGGATGATTTTTGTAAATCTTCCTACATATAATTATGCTATATGTAACTCATTGTTCCGAATGACAGTTTGAACCTTGAATTTCTGAACTAAATCATGTTGGGAAATTCTACCTTCAGGCATGAGGCCAAGAGCATTTTTAAAAGCAATCTCACAGGACTTCCTAGAACTTGGTGTGTCCTCATTTGCTCATTCCCAAAACAGGAGGAAAGTGATTTGAGTAGCGACAGATGTCGTATGAAGACCAAAAAAGAGCAAACCTTTACACATCTGAGAAAACAGCATTCATGCTTCCAGTCTTCCTTGAGGCTGCAACCTATTGCCCACATATTTGAGGGACATCTCAGCTTCTCCATTAACTGGTCCACCCAGCATGGTCCAATTCAGTTCACAGCTGCCAGGATGAAGGAGGTTTTCCAAGAAGCCCTTAGTTCCGTTTCTCCTCCAGATACATTTTATATATCATCGTCGGATAGGATCAACACCCGTTTCTCAATGTTTTTGCTCTTCCTGCCATGTGGGGCATCTACTTTGGGTTCCACGTGCCCGTTCTGTCCACATTCCCTCCCGTCCTGCATGGACTGCTGTGTATATTGCTGGTAGGCTGGGGAGAAGTTATGTATGGCGTCTTGGACTATATCTTGAGGACTCATGGTCTCCTTCAGTCCGCTGGAGATGCTCTGCATTGGAGCAAGGACGGCTAGGAGAAGGAAAAGATGAGAAGGTAATCATCATGTCAGTTGGACCTCTGAAAGAAGGAGCAGACTGCAAAGAGAACCTATTTCTGCAGACCTTGATATCATAGGTTAGACCAGTGTTTCTCAAACTCTGCTCCTTCAGGTGTTTTGGACTTCAGCTCCCAGAAATACCAACCAGCTTATCAGCTGTTAGGAATTGTGGGAGCTGAAGTCCAAAACATCTGGAGGAGGACAGTTTAAGACACTCTGGGTTAGATGTCCATATAATTCCAGAGACAGAGAATGTGTGTCAACAAAAAGGTATAGATTATCCCCTGACATTAAGTCCAGTTGTGACTCTGGGAGAGGGGGGGGGTTCATCTCCATTCCTCAGTCGAAGAGCCAGTATTGTTCATAGACACCTCCAAGGTCATGTTGCTGGCAAGACTGCATGAAGCGCCGCTACCTTCCCGCCGGAATGGTATTTATTTACAGTATTTATATACTGCTTTTCTCACCCCTAGGGTGACTTATTGATCTACTCACATTTGCATGTTTTCGAACTGCTAGGTTGGCAGAATCTGGGGCGAACGGCAGGAGCTCACCCTGCTCCTCAGATTTGAACTGGCGACCTTTCTGTCAGCAAGTTCATCAGCTCAGCAGTTTAATCCACTGCACCACTAGGGGCTCCAATTTAGCATCACAGAATCTAAATAGTTAGAAGTGGTCATCTAGTCGAACCCCACTGACATGCAGGTATATACAACTGAAACATTCCTGAAGAATGTCCACCCAACATCAGTTTAAAGACCTCAATCGGAGGAGAGTATACCACTCTCCAAGGCATTCTAGTTTAGTATTGAATAGCTCTTAAAGGTTCGAATCCAGGAAGCGGCTTGAGCTTCCGCTTTCATCCCCAGCTTCTGCCAACCTAGCAGTTGGAAAACATGCAAATGTGAGTAGATCAATAGGTACCGCTCTGCCAGGAAGTTAATGGCGCTCCATTGAGTTATGCTGGCCACATGATCTTGGAGGTGTCTACAGACAATGTTGGAGGTGTCTATGGACAACGCCGGCTCTTTGGCTTAGAAATGGAGATGAGCACCCACTCCCAGAGTTGGACACAACTGCACTTAAATGTCAGGGGAAAACCTTTACCTTTACTAGCTCGTAATAGTAAATGAAGTTCTTCCTTAATGGTTAGGTAGAATATATTTTCTTACAATTTGAATCCATTAATTTATCTTCTAGTTTGAGTTTGCTCCTTTTTCTAGATGACACTTTCAAGACATAGTAAAAGCTTTCAGCCAAAATAAGCTGGTATTTTAGGCCTCATCCCTTGTGTTTTGGCTCCATCGTCCATCTTTGAGAACTTGCCTGAAACTGAACGTAGCCCTTAAGCCAAGAAAGGTTCCCCACACTTTGATTTCGAAACCCTGGTTACCTGTTGCGCTTTCCTTTTTCTCTCGGTAGACCTGGCAGGTAAACGCATATCGGAGGGCGATGGAAGCAAAGAGCATCTCGATGCATATGATGAAATTCTGATAACCGGCAGCAACAGTCCCAGCTCCCACCGCCTTGCCGTCAATGATCTGGACCTCCGGGATCACCCCACATTTCTCCAGGATTGCCAGCAGCATCCCTGTTTTTCAAAAAGAGATAATGCAGTACTATTTATGGATGTGTGTGTAGCATCTATGATTTTATAGCACTAAAGTGACCCAGGTTCGAAGCATCATTAAACTAAAAGGAATCTCAAGGGTCGCCTAATACAATCCCTCTTCCAATTTGTGTACCCATTATTAAAATACAGTGGTATCTGCTGGCATTATACCAAAATCCATAAAAGCTCAAGTCCAATTATACAATTGCCTAGTAACATGGCATCCCATATATAAGATTTGCCTTGGAAATATCCCCCATGGATGAAGAACTCATGGATACAGAGGACCATCTGTACCCAAGAATATCCCCTTTGATGCTTGGGCTTTGAGCTAGCAAGTTTCAAGATATTTTGTTGAGTTTACACAGCTGCCATTGTCCCATAGCTATTGAATCTTGGGGTGGGGGAGAGTGTAGTTTAGGATAAACTAGAGCTCTCCGACAGAGAATTCACTGCTTCCTTCCTGAAACTGCCAATCCTAGGTTTCCACCGGATGCAGCCATGGCAGGTAAAGTGGAGTCCTAGTGCTATATATATGAGAGGGCGAACAAATCGAAACTGAATCCAGACAAGACAGAGGTCCTCCTGGTCAGTCGAAAGGCCGAACAGGGCGTAGAGTTACAGCCTGTACTTGACAGGGTAACACTCCCCATGAAGACGCAGGTTCACAGCTTGGGAGTGATCCTGGACTCATCGCTGAACCTGGAACCCGCGGTCTCGGTGATGTCGGGAGAGGTTTTGCACAATTAAAACTTGTGCGCCAGCTGTGCCCGTACCTTGGGAAGTCTGACTTGGCCACAGCGGTTCACACTCTTTTTACATTCCGATTAGACTACTGCAATGCACTCTGCGTGGGGCTGCCTTTGAAGACTGCCTGGAAGCTTCAATTTATCCAATGGTCAGCAGCCAGGTTGCTCACTGGAGTGGCGTACAAGGAGCATACAACTCCTCTGTTACGCCAGCTCCACTGGTTGCCGATCTGCTTCCGAGCACAATTCAAAGTGCTGGTTTTAACCTTTAAAGCTCTAAATGTTCCTAGTCTGAATGTATCTCATACTACGAATCATCACGAAGTTTAAGATCATCTGGAGAGGTCCTGCTCTCGATCCCACCGCCGTCGCAAACGCGATTGGTGGAGACGAGAGACAGGGTCTTCTTAACAGTGGCTCCCCGTCTGTGGAATTCCCTCCCCAAAGATATCAGACTGCCCACCCCGCTCTTCTCTTTTAGAAGGAAATTCAAGACTTGGCTGTGAGGCCGTGCATTTGACAATTGAACAACAGCTTGTTTGAAGAAGACATAAGCAATTTCGAAGTGACAATGAATTGATCCAGATTTTAATTGCCGTGTTTTAACAACTGTTTGGTTTTAATGAATTGGTTGATTGTTCTTATCATTATGATGGCACCTGAGTCCCCCCTTGGGGGTGAGAAGGGCAGGCTACAAATATATGAAATAAATAAATAAATAATGGCAGTGCAATGGAAAACTAAAGGAGATTCCATCCCTGAAATTGAGGAGGCCCACCTTGCCAGAAGGAGAGGAAGATCACAGCTTTGATAGTGAGGAACTTGAGGACAGGCTCAAAGGGGCGCAAGAGGTCCATGGTGGCGAAGTAGAAGAGGAAGAGGGCGTAGAGGGCCAGGCTGACGGAAAAGTTGTAGATGATGGTGATGTAGAGGTAGCCGCTGTGGACACTGTGAAGACAAGGAAGCAAAACAGAGTCAGGAAGGAAACAAATGCAAAACCTCCTTGTTTCTTGAACAACTGTTTAGATCATTCCTTCGATCTAACTGGGGGAAATCATCTGGAGTTTTGGAGTTTGATGCCAACTGTACACAGATGGCATCCAACTCTATTATGACAGTCTGGATAAGGGCAAACAAATTGAAGTTGAATCCAGATAAGACAGAGATCCTCTGGGTCAGTTGCCAGGCTGAACAGGACATAGGATTACAGCCTGTGCTGTAGGTTGAAGGCGCAGGTTTGCAGCTTGCGAATTCTCCTGGATTCATCGCTGAGCTTGGAACCTCAGGTTGTGTCTGTGGCCAGGGGCGCTTTCGCACAATTAAAACATGTGCACCAGTTGTGCCTGTACCTTGGGAAGTCAGACTTGGGCATGGTGGTCCACGCGCTCCTTACATCCAAGATAGATTACTGCAATGTCCTCTACGTGGGGTTGCCTTTGAAGGCTGTTCAGAAGCTTCAAACAGTCCAATGGGAGGCAGCCAGGTTATTAACTGGAGCGGCATAAAGGGAGCACACAACTTCCATGCTATGTCAGCTCCACTGGCTGCCTGTCTGCTACCGGGCACTTTTCAAAGTATTGTTGAAGGCTTTCATGGCCAGAATCACTGGGTTGTTGTAGGTTTTTTGGGCTGTATGGCCATGTTCTAGAAGCATTCTCTCCTGATGTTTCATTCCTGACTTCACAACCTCTGAGGATGCGTGCCATAGATGCAGGTGAAACATCAGGAAAGAATGCTTCTAGAACATGGCCATACAGCCCGAAAAACCTACAACAACCCAACAATTCAATCCAAGCCCAGTTCATCTGTCTGAACATATCTCCCTTTACGAACCATCGTGAAGACTAAGATCTTCAGGGATGGCCCTGTTCCCGGTCCCACATTTGGTGAGGCATTCTCAGCGATTGTCGCCCGGCTATGGAACTCCCTCCCTGTGAGATTAGATCAGGACCTTCCCTTTTGTCCTTCAGAAAGATGGTAAAAACTTGGCTGTGGGATCAAGCCTCTGGGACAGTGTAATAAAGCAATAATAGGAAACCAGTATGGTGTTTTGTGATGGTTTTAAACAACTGATTTCAAAATAGATATAAAGATTTTAGTGTTTGTGTACATTTATAGTTATTTTATGTCCCGCCATGGGATGTTTGCCATATATATGTTGTGGTCCACCCTGATTCCCTTTCAGGGTAAGAAGGGTGGAATATAAATGTTTCAAATAAAGGCAAGAGCAACTCATGGAGGGAAGGAGGAAAACCATAAGGACTGGCTGAATATCAATTGTTTGCCCAAGCCCTTCCCTCTTTGCTCACTTGAAATCTCCATCGTTATATTTCCCAAAAGCTTGCAAGATGAT